AACTTAAATTTACAATGCTAATTAAGTTTGTTTAGTTATTCAGGTAAATCACTATAATTCTTTACACGATGTAAATCTCTATGTACATAAGCATTAAAAAAATTTCCCCTTAAAAGAGATGAGAGTTAAATATCATTCAGATAGCAATTTACCAACCAAAAGAAAAAAAGGCCACCCCCCATAAAAAAAAGTTTAAAAAGTGATCAAGGAAGATTTTTACCACACATGATGGATATATTAAATATGAACCCAGAAATAAACAATGGCATCTTATTTAATAACAACACTAAAACTAGAGGCTCTAAAGAGCCTGTGTCGCTCACCTTGGTCTATGTGCATATTAAACAAAGGGCACAGATGGATTCATGACAAAATCGTGTTTTGGTGATGGTGATGTGTTTGTAGATCTTACTTAACTGAACATTCTTGCTCCTTACTATTATCTCTATCTATAATGAACTTGGCCCGGTAGTTACAGTGGAAAATATTTTGTAAAAATTTACAAAAATTTACAAAATTTATGAAAATTGTAAAAAATTGACTATAAAGGGCAATAACTCCTTAAGGGGTCAATTGACAATTTTGGTCATGTTGACTTATTTGTAGATCTAACTTTGCTGTACATTATTGCTGTTTACAGTTTATCTCTATCTATAATAATATTCAAGATAATAACCAAAAGCTGCAAAATTTTCTTAAAATTACCAATTCAGGGGCAGCAACCCAACAACGTGTTGCCTGATTGGTCTGAAAATTTCAGGGCAGATAGATCTTGACCTAATGAACAATTTTATCCCATCAGATTTGCTCTAAATGCTTTGGTTTCAGAGATATGAGCCAAAAACTGCATTTTACCCTATGTACTATTTTTTAGCCATGTCGGCCATCTTGGTTGGCGGGCGGGGTCATCGGACACATTTTTTAAACTAGATAACCCCAATGATGATTGTGGACAAGTTTGGTTAAATTTGTCTTAGTAGATTCAGAGGAGAAGATTTTTGTAAAAGATTACAAAAATTTACGAAAAATGGTTAAAAATTGACTATAAAGGGCAATAACTCCTAAAGAGGTCAACTGGCCATTTTGGTAAAGTTGACTTATTTGTAGATCTTACTTTGCTGAACATTATTGCTGTTTACAGTTTATCTCTATCTATAATAATATTCAAGATAATAACCAAAAACAGCAAAATTTCCTTAAAATTACCAATTCAGGGGCAGCAACCCAACAACGGGTTGTCTGATTCATCTGAAACTTTCAGGGCAGATAGATCTTGACCTGATAAACAATTTTACCACGTGTCAGATTTGCTCTAAATGCTTCGGTTTCAGAGATATAAGCCAAAATCTACATTTTACCCCTATGTTCTATTTTTAGCCATGGCGGCCATCTTGGTTGGTTGGCCGGGTCACCGGACACATTTTTTAAACTAGATACCCCAATGATGATTGTGGCCAAGTTTGGTCAAATTCGGCCCAGTAGTTTCAGAGGAGAAGATTTTTGTAAAAGTTAACGACGACGGATGACGACGATGACGGACGACAACGACCACGGACGCCAAGTGATGAGAAAAGCTAACTTGGCCCTTTGGGCCAGGTGAGCTAAAAATGTGTAGTAAATTGATTTAATTTTCAAAATGTGTTGTACATTTTTGTACCCTCTCAGTACTTGTTATGTCTCTTTAAGGTGGTCTTAACAGGATATCAAGACCATAAACACCCTTCCTGGATAAATCTGGATAAATATTAATAATCAAGAATACTTGTTCAACATTAAAATACTTTTAACTTGCTTTAAACTAGAGGCTCTAAAGAGCCTGTGTCGCTCACCTTGGTCTATGTGCATATTAAACTCGCTCACCTTGGTCTATGTGCATATTAAACAATGTCAATGGACACAGATGGATTCATGACAAAATCGTGTTTTGGTGATGGTGATGTGTTTGTAGATCTTACTTTACTGAACATTCTTGCTCCTTACTATTATCTCTATCTATAATGAACTTGGCCCAGTAGTTACAGTGGAAAATATTTTGTAAAAATTTACAAAAATTTACAAAATTTATGAAAATTGTAAAAAATTGACTATAAAGGGCAATAACTCCTTAAGGGGTCAATTGACAATTTTGGTCATGTTGACTTATTTGTAGATCTAACTTTGCTGTACATTATTGCTGTTTACAGTTTATCTCTATCTATAATAATATTCAAGATAATAACCAAAAGCTGCAAAATTTTCTTAAAATTACCTATTCAGGGGCAGCAACCCAACAACATGTTGCCTGATTGGTCTGAAAATTTCAGGGCAGATAGATCTTGACCTAATGAACAATTTTATACCATCAGATTTGCTCTAAATGCTTTGGTTTCAGAGATATGAGCCAAAAACTGCATTTTACCCTATGTATAATTTTTTGCCATGTCGGCCATCTTGGTTTGCGGGCAGGGTCATCGGACACATTTTTTAAACTAGATACCCTAATGATGATTGTGGACAATTTTGGTTAAATTTGTCTTAGTAGTTTCAGAGGAGAAGATTTTTGTAAAAGATTACAAAAATTTACGAAAAATGGTTAAAAATTGACTATAAAGGGCAATAACTCCTTAAGGGGTCAACTGACCATTTTGGTCAAGTTGACTTATTTGTAGATCATACTTTGCTGAACATTATTGCTGTTTACAGTTTATCTCTATCTATAATAATATTCAAGATAATAACCAAAAACGGCAAAATTTCCTTAAAATTACCAATTCAGGGGCAGCAACCCAACAACGGGTTGTCTGATTCATCTGAAAATTTCAGGGCAGATAGATCTTGACCTGATAAACAATTTTACCCCATGTCAGATTTGCTCTAAATGATTTGGTTTCAGAGATATAAGCCAAAATCTACATTTTACCCCTATGTTCTATTTTTAGCCATGGCGGCCATCTTGGTTGGTTGGCGGGGTCATCGGACACAATTTTTAAACTAGATACCCCAATGATGATTGTGGCCAAGTTTGCTCAAATTTGGCCCAGTAGTTTCAGAGGAGAAGATTTTTGTAAAAGTTTACGGACGACGGACGACGGACGCAGTGATGAGAAAAGCTCACTTGACCTTTCAGGTCAGGTGAGCTAAAAATTAGTTAGCGCTTTCAAGCACAAATGTAACAATTGCTATACAAACGGCTAAGTCTTAACTAGATCATCAAAATACACCCCCCTTTTATTCATTGTCACAATTCAGACTTTAACAATGACCAGTTGCCAGACCACATCATGGTAAATTCTGTATTAGTTCTATGTCCCATTTTGATCTGAATAGTTAAAACATTCTCTCCCGCCTTTTATAAATTACTAAACATATTAGAACAGCTAAAAAAAAAAAAATGTTCACATTACAGTTCAATGCTAGCAACTCTTCAGTAGACAACACTGCCAGGATCCAAATCAGTTCATAGTATGACATACGAAAAGAAGATTTTACAAACTACTTAACTATCTTGATAAAAGAAGAATGTGTCTAAGGACACGAATGCCCCCTGCTCAAGCTTTGCAACAAAAATAGGACGGACGGAAAGAAGGAAGGAAAGACCGACGGTCAAGGGTAACACTTAATGCCCCCATCCCCTACAGCTGGGCCATAAAATTATCTGGGTATAACACTGTACAGTACCATTTTCAGCACTGAATACACCATTAGATCACCTCTTTATACATACATGATCATTTATTTACATACATGACATATATTTGTTTGTTAAATACCTACCATATCAATTTACATAATACATAAATTAATTCTTTTTAAAATTAATGTTCCTTTAAATCACAGCTTGGCAGCCAGATCAACAATAAAGATATAGTAGTAATTTAAGTGCTATTTTATTATTGAACAAGGAATGCATTTAATAATGTAAGCCGTTTTCTTTACATAGGTAATATATTCTGAAGAGATGCATTAATAGTTTTTGTCAAAAAACTCATTTACTCCATATTCCTCGATTTAAAAAAATAATAAATATCATCAAATAAAATTTAGTGTACATTGTCACAGAGTGGATTCATTAATATTTCGTGTGATACAAATTATCATGGATTTTGTTGGTAAAGGCAAACCACAAATTTTAACATTGCAAGAAGTACAAATTTACTATAGGTATTTATGAAGACTGACAAAAACCAAAAATATCAAATATCCACTACAATATTCCCTCAATCACCAAAAATAAGTATGCACATAAATAAATGAGTCTAAATAATAATATCACAGATTTTCCATAATTTTAGATCAGATATAAAATGCTACATGTATTAATTTTTCATTCATCTGTAGACATGGAAATTTTCGCGTTCACATCATTTGCACAAAAGTAGTTTTTAGAAGGCAAAAACATCGATGTGAAGTGCAAATTTATTGTTGATGTGCAAACTTAATCCCCATGTGAAAAGAAAATGTATTCATGAAAAACTAATAAACAACCTGTGAAAAATATCCATGTTTACAGTATACTGCATATTTTGGCGAAGTTACTTTGAAGGAAATTCTTGACTAAATAAATTAATTTGAATCTGAAATTTAATCGTTTCGATTCAATAGTAAATAGTTTTACCTTCTCAGATTAATAGTTATGGTTAAGAATTTTGGGAGAAAATTCAGAGAGTTGACTATATGACTATCTTGCATTGAATCTGACACATGAATCAATATCAAAACACACACTTGAATCAGACTTACTAATTTAAAAAAAAAAAACACTTTATAAATTTGGTGTGTCAGTTACTTTTCTTTTTGAATTTACCTTCTTCAGAAGTGCTCTTGGAAACAATGCATTCATTATGAATTTGAAATATTTTTTAAACTGGCAATGTTGTTCAACGCTTTTACACAAAATTGAAAAAAAATAAACACGTTACAAAATTCTCTATTCAGGTGGTGAAAGGTAGGGTCTAAGAACTTTGTCTTAAAAAAAACAAGGCAAAAAAAGGGGGAAAAAAAAAAGAAAGAAAGAAAGATACCTCATCATCTTCTCCTTTATCTTTATCTGACAACTCATCGTCTTCTTTTTCTTTATCTTCTTTCTTGTTTTCATTTTCTTCTATAAATGAGTCTAATTCTTTCTCTAATTCGTCATCGTCATCATCATCAAAACTGGTGACTTCAATTTTTGGAGACTCTGTAGTGGTCATCCTGACTGTCTTCTATAAAACACAAAGAGAAAATTTACCCAATGCATGTGTAGAATGAATGAAAGCAAATTGACAATTTGCAAACAATTCAGCTCAAACCAGTGGTTAGGACTTTTTGAAATTGTGGTAATGTGAGAGTTTTTGCTTCATGTTGAAGGCTTCAACTGTGACTTTCGGACGAAGAACGGTATAGCAAAAGGTATTCTAGAGATTTTAATTTTTTTCAAGTCCACATATTTATTTTGTGTTATCAATGAATACACCATTTTATTTCGTTTTAACCATCCACTATAAAGGGGGTCTCATTGGGGGGCTCTGATCCCGGATCCCACTTATTGTTTTGTCAAAATCTTGTGTCCGCCTATCATGGTAAAAATAGCACTTGTAATTTCATGTGTCCCGCCAAACTTCATTTCCCGTTTTCACGCAAAATAATTTGACTTTCACATGTCACGCTAACAAAATATCAGCAAATCCCGCATCATGATTACACCCCAATGAGTCCCACTATAAACATGATATAAAACAGAAATTCAAAATTTAACCTACTACACAATAACCATTAAAAAGACATAAACAAATGCTTTACAATTTATACAACGTACATCATGTACATTGATATAAGAGAGTACTGTGAGCTATTGCTCGCTTCTTATTCTCAGGCAAATCTAACATGGCTAAAGAAGATACAAATGTAGTTGCTGAGAAAAATGTAACAAAAATTTCATACATGTGCATGACATTTTTAAGATTATTTGCGAAGAGGAAGTAGAATATACATATTCAAGGAACAAAGAACATTTCATTCAGTGCTGTATAAGCAATTGAACCTTGGTGCTATTTATCAAAAGCTATAACTTGTAGTTGCTGAAAAAAATGCAACAGAAATGTACTTCAGAAAAAAGGTTGAATGGAGATAAACCAGTATATCCTGTCTCATCTTTGGAGCTGGGTATATACTATACAAATATATGAAAAATTTAACCACTAACATCAAATGCAAGGTACTAAGACACTTTAACCACTTCCAACTAAAAATATAGATACAAAGTCGGGAGAAAAATCTAACCGATAACATAACTGTAAACCAGCTTATTTTTGTTGACAGTTTATAGCCGACTTCACCATGTTCACTTCAATTTACATTCTTAATTTTTTAACTTTGTTATATTCATATACACTCTGTATAGATTCAATAATTGAAGACCAAAGTTTGAGATATATCTGTTGCAATTCAATTGCACATTATTTTTTTAAATCCCCTATGAAAAATGTTTTATACAAAGACCACAAAGACAGGAGAAAATTTTATTTAACTACTGAAATCAAAATATGATATAAAATGTACATTATCCACGTTTTAAATCACAAGCTGAATTAAAATTTTAAAAATATGTAAACCTTTCTAAACTTATTTAGCACTAATAAACTTGAATATAAATAGGAACTTTGTATTACCATATAAAAATCATTTTCTGGTGTGGTTAGGATGCACAGTAAAATGAATTGACGATTTTATATCCATCTCAATCTGATATCCTTACAACGTCATGTTTAATTGTTACAGGATTGTTCCAGTGAAAAGTAACCTGTTCACTTGTATATATCCTTGTCTTTTCAGTTTACAGCTACTAATTATTATCAATAGTTTAGACATAACATTAACTATTAATAGGTTATTGAATTCCATTAATTACTTATTTTAGTGATAAAACACCTACTCAATACTTTATAACTGAATTCAAATTATCACCAGAGTTTTTCTTAGAAACTGACAGTCAGCTACAGTCTTCACGCTGAGTGGCAGCCCAGGCAGCCCAGGCTTGTAATATTGCTCTCGGGCCTGTAAAAATCATATCTACAAGCCAACAGAATCTAACTAAAAATTTTCAAAAATTGAGCTCCGGGCCTGTAGATTTAGCAGTTCATCGTGAAGACTGCAGCTAAATACCGATTTATATCATGATTTCAGACATCAACTTAAGGAATAACAGTCCTGAAATTGGAAGATTTGCCACCATCAATTGGTGATTTGACTGTTGCAAATGCAGTTTTAACGGCAATGCATAGTTATGTTAGTGGAGCAAGTAAAACAGATATATTTGAAACCACCAAAAGATTATTCTTTCTTCTTTCTATTAGTAGAATGGATCCTAATTTATGAATTTTAGAGTTGTATGAAAGTAATTACATCAGTTTAAAGTTGTCTGATTGTGGTGAAAAATCTTTGTACATGTATAATAATTATCCTACCTAAATAGAAAATGAAAGGATATGGAGTAAATGTATATGGGACAAAATCACACACAATACATAGATAACATAGAAAATTATCAATGAATAGCGCTTTTATTCCTGTTCTTCATCTTGACAGTTGACAGCGTCGACTTAAGCTGTACTATTGATGAAAATAAACCACAGTTCACCTTCTTGCTCCCCACCCGCCTCAGAGTGCCAACTTGTGCGATGCTTGTGTACGACGGTTCTCTAGTCGAAAGCACCAGGGATACAAGAAAAGTGCAGTATTTAAACTTAAGCATTCATGTCCCTTTATATTAATTTTTTAATTTTTTTATTGGATAAATTACAAGATAACAAAACACATGTCTACCTGTATGAGTGAGTTCTTTTAACACCCTGTAAACTCACTGTTTTATAAAATTTTGAAAAAGGAATGAGACTGATGAAGGGCACTTGTTGTGCCGAAATGTCTGTCAATATGATTTAATTTCATCTTGTTGGTATATTTTTATCTTTCATCAGTACGACTGTATCGTTACACAAATCTTAAGACTTTTATATTGATATATATAATATCATAATGTTTATAAGGAATTTCACATGTGTAGGATGACCCTGGACGAGTCAAAAATACATTTTCCCAAATGAAAACCAACTCATTAATTTTGTAATTAATCAACTAGCACTTATTAAATGAAAAAAAAAAGAACTCTTTAAATTTGTTTTTCATAAATTTAAATTAATGCTTCCCTCCAATACAATCTCCCATTAAATTATTTAACGAAAATAAAGCATGCAAGTAAAATGACATTATCTAATTTCCAATCGAGAAATATTACTACTAAAAAATGCATAGCCATTCGATTAATTAATTTGATGATCATTTTGTCTGTAGATCAATAATAAGCGATATCATGGGACATAAAGTGATGAAGGATATGAATAAATCATGGAATTATCTCACCATGTTATTGACAGAACCTCGAAAATAATTCTCATTTGTTGTCATGTGATCTACAAAACAATACAATTGTACAGTATACATTAGGTGATTCAGTTATAAATCACTTTGCTGGTGATTTTCCACCGTGAATACTGGTGGTTGTTGGTGGCTCACTCTGAAATACAATGTATCATTTTGTATTTAACATAGATCATGGTTTTTCCTAAAAATTGTTTGAAGGATCAGGGATTAACTGAAAGGATGGGGGCTTAATTATAATAGGGCAGTTCAAGTTTTAAAGAATGGGGGTATAATTTTAATTTAAATGGGCATCAACATACATAAACCTCTAGAAATAACACTCAGGTAATATATTGTTGTCACTCTAAATCACTCTAAATCACCAGCAATTACATTTTTTCACTCTGAAACACTCTCCACCAGCAACTGTCTTTTTTTAACAGAATCATCCTGTGTGTCATGTTCATATATGCCCTTACAAACTACATGTAGATTTCACAAAAAATAAATAATTGGTTAAAAGACAAAATCAGAGGTAAAAACACACAAAAAAAAATATATAACAATCAAAACTAAGAAATAGAAATTGCAGCCGAATACTTTGACCTATAATTTCCCTGTCAATTAGTAGAACAGAGAACAAATCGTCTACTGTAAATTCAGAAATTATTGCGAGGTTTTTATTAATGCGAATAATGAGAGTGGATGAAGGTCGCAATAATAAGAACTCGCATTCTGATATCTGATACTTATATCTGTATGCAGATTTTCCTGAAATCGCAATAATTAATCTCGCATTTTAGTCCATTCTTCAAAAATCGCAATAATAAATGCACGCAATAATTTCTGAATTGACAGTATATTGTAATTCACATGAGGTCCCCCAGTTATTTCTTTTATTTAAATTTAAGATATCAAAAGGTCAAAGTGGTCACTGGTCAACCATCCATCATGTCTATACCATAAAATTGAGAATGGCAATGGGGAATATGTCACAGAGACAACAACCCAACCAAAGAGCAGACAACAACCCAACCAAAGAGCAGACAACAGCCGAGGGCCACCAATGGGTCTTCAACGCAGCGAGAAAATACTGCACCAAGAACTGGTCCTCAGCTGGCCCCCAAATAAAATTGTGTACTAGTTCAGTGAAAATGGACATCACACTAAACTCCAAACATATAAATGAACTAAAATTAAAAAACATTCAAGACTAACAAAGGCCAGAGGCTCCTGACTTGGGACAGGCGCAAAAATGCGGCGGGGTTAAACATTTTTATGAGATCTCAACCCTCCCCCTATACCTCTAGCCAATGTAGAATAAAGAAACACATAGCAATACGCAGTTAAACTCATAATGTTTACATCACCTGAGTCTAGACAAACAATAATGAATTTAAAAAACATGAAAAATAACATTGATTATGATTGGATGTTTCGTCATTTCATGTCCAATGAGAAATATTACATAGATTCAGGACAAGAACATGCTTTATAATAAACATATGAACCTTGCTTTTAACAAGATCAAACTTCCTAGATCATGGCAAGATGGTATCATGGTAACATGCTAGTCTTTAAAGTAGGAGGTCATGCAGTCCCATCTACCACCATGCTACATGCAAAGTTCTCAAAATCTTTCTTCGCCTGGTGGTCCTTAAAGAAAATTTGCTTGTTCTCACTAATATTTCTATTGCCAATTACCAAAATTGTGGTGGTCCTTTGGAAATTTTGGTGGTAAAAACCTTCGGACCACCACTTTTCGAGAACTCTGCAGTACATATATATATAACAAATAGCAAACTACATGTACATGTAGTGTCGGAGACAATTTTGCTGTTGATAAATGTTTAAGGATTACCAAAATATAACATTGTCCTATTGGAACTGCTATTGTCTCTTTTACACGTGTCATTTGAATGAATCATCATTTTGTCACCTTAGATTTCACAAGATAGCCAAATAAAAAAGCTTACTATGGTCCTGACGCAATGCCTGAAGGCCCCATAAATGATAGAAGGGTCAATACCACAAATTATAGTTATCTCGTTACGTACCAATGTCAACTTGCATTGTACCACAGTAAATTTGTACCATTTGAAACTCGTACCAACTTACTTCAATGCATTCAAATGGTGTTAAATGTTGAATATATTTAAATCTAACTGAATAACTCCCTCATAATACTAAAAGGTATATATATAATTTGAAAGTCACATTGACCAATCTGCAGCTGATTGTTCCTTGGTTAATTGGATGAAGAAAATAGAGGGTAAATTAGTTCAGCATGTTCAGATGTGTTTTTGTGTTGTGTCTACTTGTATTTTTCTATTTAGTAAAATTGATAATGGAAATGGGGAATGTGTCAAAGAGACAACAACTCGACCAAAGAGCAGGAAACAGCCCAAGGCCACCAATGGGTCTTCAACACAGCGAGAAAATCCCGCACCTGGAGGCGGGCTTCAGCTGACCCCTTAACAAAAATGTGTACTAGTTCAGTGAAAATGGAAGTCACACTAAACTTGGAAACATATAATAGAACTAAAATTAAAAAAACATTCCAGGCTAACAAAGCCCTGACTTGGGACAGGCGCAAAAAATGTGGCGCAGTTCAACATGTTTTGTGAGTTTTCAACCCTCCCCTATACCTCTAGCCAATGTAGAATAAACAAACACACAGCAATACAAACAGTAAAACTCAGTTTAAAAGAAGTCCGAGTCCGAGCCATGATAACGTTAGAAAGAATAAGTTTTAATTTTGATACTTTATTGGCCACAATTTCAACAACATTTAGCATACATAAACTATTACAGGACTCTAGTGTTTTAATAATGAGGAATTTTATTTGATAATAAAACACTATACAATTAATTCCAAGCTTTAAAATTATATACATGTAACATCAATCATAATTCAATAATTGGATTGAACAAGTTGATAAGTTAACTACAGACATAAGCACACAATTAAAGGAATTTAATTTATCAATGAGCATTGATGAGAAAGGTAAATAGAAAGTAATGTAAAGATAATAAAAAACAATTCATAAGAATTTGTATATATATTATATTTTTCATAATCTTTTATTGTATGAGTTGGCAGTGGTATGAATTCACAGAGGTAAGAGTTAACATTGGTACAAGTTGACATGGTATGAGTTTGCAATGGTACGAGGTAACTTGCTTCCAATACCACTTTGGTACTGAAAAACCTTCAACAGAGGAAGATTAATCTCTATTAGTTTTCGTTTCTTTTCGTAAACATCATAATTAATATATTTATAGAGAAGCATACGATTTCCAGCAAACTTATATATCTGATAACCAAATAGGATATGACGATATATAAAACAAACATGCACCAATAATCTTCTGGGAGCTCTGTCTCATTAGGTAGCACCTTCTTCATAATATAAACAAAAGTACTTTTGTCTTGTCTTATTTTTCTGGTAATTAGTTCCCTTATTGTTTAAAATCTCAGATAATGTTATCTTGTTTTACAATTTAGAAATGACCAGAATACTATTACGTTCATATCGTGGAACTGGCATGCACAGATGTAAGCTGCTTGGTAAATACAAATGAGAAGCTGAACACGCACATGCTAGTTGTCAAGTAGGAACAAATCAATATTGGCCTTTACGGAGACATTTTAACGACAAATTTGATATGTGCTGTATATAAATGGGTAGTGTATTACCTGTTTTATGTCATGAATTCATCGGTTTAGTCAATAAAATGTAAATAAACGGAAATAACTTTGAAGCGGATACGCTTATGTTGTTTGGACGGCGATACCTTGGTAATGTTCACTTCCTCTAAATTAAGCCACGGTTTCGAATGCATACTTTTTGTTGTTTTCTTATACTTCAACTTTAAATATATTGAAAATAATATCATACAATATAATCAATGAAAAATTAAAATGAAGCATCTTTTTGAAAAATTACCGATCTATTTATTCGAAAATACCAGCAGGTGCTTCGTTAGCTTTGCATGAAAGATATTGTGATAAAGTGTTGATTGAACACAACTCCTATTAAGACGACTCCACAGCAGAGTGAACTACGAATTTTATCTTTTAATTGTAAAAATGTAAAGACTATAGCCCCATTTATTGAGAACATGAGAAATCAAGTAGATATTATATTACTTCAAGAGCATTGGTTATTCGATCATGAGCTTAATCTCTTAGATGAATTAAACTCACATTTTTGTGGCAAAGGAAAGTCGATTAACTCTGGGAAAAACACATGTGATTTATTGATAAAATCAGTCAGGGGATATGGAGGTGTGGCCATAATATGGGACCGCTCAATTGATCAGTATGTAAAACCCATAATTGATGGAAACAATAGAATTCAATGTATTGAACTAGCCCTAAAAAATCCGATTTTATTAGTCTCTGCATATCTGCCAACAAAAGCAGAAAATGACAAATTTGAAGAGTTCAGTGAATGTATAGACCAACTATTTGAGATTATTCAAAAATATGAGCTTACACATAACCTCGTAATTGGAGGAGATTTCAATGAGGATATTTCAAAAATAAATAACTCAAGAAGAGCATTAAAATTGAAAAAATTGATAGATGAATGTAACATGAAAGTAGATTTTAAAGGTCCAACCTTCATCAATGTTAAAGGAGAAGAAATCTCTGAAATCGACTACTTCATATACAAGACAGAAGTCATTCACAAAACCTCAAGATTAACTGATGTAGCATCCAATGTATCTGATCATCATCCGATCATGATCACACTTCCATGTAAATTTTTAAAGAAAGATGACATATTAGAGAGTAATGTACAATCAAGAATTAGATGGGACAAAGTTGATATTAATCAATATACTAATATTATAGCACAAGAAATTCCTATGTTAAAGGAAAAATTACAGAATCAACAAAATTCAGTTACGACCACAATAGAACAAACCATGGAAATGCTTTCAAGTACGGCTAAGAAATGCTCCGCTCAAAAAACGTATGGGAAAAACAAACTGAAATTAAAATTATGGAATCAGGAGATTAAACATACTTTACATCAAAATAAAATAGCATACAAGAATTGGAAAAATGCGGATAGACCGAATGACCCTGAACATCCACTGGTTATAGAAAAAAAGGAAACTAGAAAACTATTTAGAACTGAACTGAGAAAGGAAGAAAATAAGCGCAAACATATAGAAAGAGACAGAATTATAACTGCAAATACGCAGAATAAAAGACTGTTTTACCAACTTATTAAAAAACAAAGAAATAACAAAAACATCTTTATTAATGATTTACATGTATCAGATAAAACATATGAAAATGAGGGGGTGATTAATGGATGGCACAATCATTTTAAAACCCTTGCTGAACCAATCCAGAATAGTACATATGATTCCAAACATCAGAAATTATGTGATGTAGATTATCAAGCAATAAAATACCTATGCAGTCAAACTTCACCTAGAATAGTAACAAAATCAGAACTCCTTGAGGCAATTAAATCTATAAATACAGGAAAATCAGAAGATATCTTTGGTCTGTCAATTGAGCATATTCTAAATGCAGGAGATGACTTCACAGATTATCTACTTTGTCTGGTTAATAACATTATTCATGATAAATTATTACCTGAAATAATTAAATTAGGACTATTATCTCCTATATTTAAAAACAAAGGAAGTAAGAATGACTCTAAGAACTATAGAGGAATTGTTGTGTTACCCATTCTATGTAAAATCATTGAATATATCGCCAGAATAGACTTTAGACCAATATTACTTGAAAAACAATCCCCACTACAAAGAGGATTTACACCAAATACTTCCCCATTAAATGCAGCAATTATATTTGAAGAAATATACAGAGAGTACACCGACTGTAATAGTCCTTTTTACATTGCGCTACTCGATGCTAAGTCGGCATTTGATGTCGTCATCATAAATATGCTGATGAGAAAGTTATTTTTACTAGATATAGACCCAGCAACTTGGTCCATAATTGACGAACTTCATAAAAATACAAGCTGTAGTATCAAATGGAAGAATCAACTATCCCAGGAATTCAAAGTATATCAAGGGGTCAAACAAGGTGGATTGTTAAGTGCTGACCTGTATAAACTATACATAGAAGACTTGTTATCATTATATGAAAACTCAACACTAGGCTGTAAGATAGGTAACATCAATATCAATGCTGTTGCATGCGCAGATGACATTGCACTACTCAGTGATAATCCTTATGACCTACAAATTTTGGTTAACCATGCCTTACAATACAGTCAACTCCATCATTATACTCTACAACCTCAAAAAAGTGTCATTATCCAAGTAGAGAACAAAGCAAAGAAAACAGCTAATCATAATTGGAATTTTAATCTTGATAACAAAGAAATGCCAAATTTGGACAAATCCACACATTTAGGAATAATTCGTTCAACAACTAAGTCAAAATCAGATAATCACAATATAGAACAAAATATCACAAAAGCTCGCAGAACAGCATACAGTTTACTATCAGCCGGTTTTCATGGGAATAACGGTCTAGATCCGATAACATCTGTATCAATATATAAGACATACATCCAACCTGTCTTAACGTACGGTCTAGAAGTAGTACTTCCGAACTCAACAAATATGCAAAAATTAGAGCTGTTTCAAAAAACAATATTGAAGAAAATTTTGTCATTACCTCCAAATACCCCAGATCCAGCAATCTACGTTATCTCAGGTTTACTTCCTATAGAAGCACAAATTGACACAAAAAGTCTAACCTTATTTAATAACATATGCAGACAAAATGATAGATCAAAAGAAAAACAACTTGCATATAGACAGCTGCTTATCAAACCAGACAATAGCAATAGTTGGTATATAGCCATCAAGAAATTATTATATAAATATGACTTTTCTGATATCATTCAATTCCTTGATAATCCTCCGAAGAAACTTGAATGGAAAAATATCATACAGAAAAAAGTAGATCTGTATTGGATCCATAAAATAATTCAAAACAGTAGATCATATCCAACGTTGACATATTTAAATTGTGATATATTTTTACCAAGAAAAAATCATCCAATTATTGATCTCAATATTGACAACAATCCGTCAAAAGGTGCGCTATCGATTGCGATTAAACTTAAATTAGTCACTGGAACTTTTATGACACAAATCAAACGTGCTAGCTTTACAAAAAGTGAATCTCCTTTATGTAAACTCTGTGACGATGAAGATGAAGATATTGAACATCTACTATTAAAATGTAAGGTTCTAGAACCTATAAGAAGTCCCTTCATAAATCAAATTGAAGAAAATATACTTAAAGATGCGTCCATTTCCTTTTACAAATTGTCTGCAAATATTCAGACACAATTAATTATGGACTGTACTAAACTTAGACATCAGAAACCAGATTTATTATTGGATAGAAAAACAGAACAACTGTGTGAACTAATTTCCAGAAAGTTGTGCTATGCACTGCATAGTATAAGAGCTAGAACCATAAGTATGCAGAAGAAACACTCAAAATAAGTGTATACTGATTGAGTATTAACTGATTCAACAGAACTAGTGACAGCAATTAAACAAACAATTGCGGACCTGTATATAACTGTATATATATATTTGTATGATATTCTGGATGGTGGAGGGTCGTATGTACTAATGCACTCTACTAAGAGGTTGTCCTGAAGGACGGAGAAAGATTCAGCGGTAAGGTAAGGTAAATTAAAAAAAGAAAAGCACCACGTGAACTTTTTTATTTCGTGAATATTCTAAATGAAATATTGGGGTCTTTTTTGTGATTAGATGATTAATTCTTAAATGTTAATTATTTATGATAGCTGCTAATTGGTATTTACAAAAGATAATTTGGTATTATTGTTATGTGTTTGAAAATCATGATTGTTGTTATAACTATAGCGGGGCCTCGGTGGCCGAGTGGTCTAAGTAGTTACTACTGTAATCACTAGTCAGTCAACACTGAGGTTGTGGGTTCGAACCCCGCTCGTGAGGGTGCACTCGACTCCAATCTTAATTGACTAGGATTGTCAGTTTTCCTATCGAAGGTCGGTGGTTTTCTCCGGGCACTCCGGCTTCCTCCACCAATAAAAACTGGCCGCCACGAAATAGCCCAAACGCGGTGCTTAAAAGTGGCGTTAAAACACCATAAATAATAATAATAATAATATAACTATAGCTTTGGTATAAAAATAATTCACAAAACATCTTACATCGACACTTTTGCAATTTTTGTAAAATTTAAAAAGCAAACAAGACAAACACCAGCTGAATAAGACTCTGACAATCAAAGTTAATTTGAATAAAGGGAAACGTAAGGTAAACTCCAAAGAAACATCAATCCAACGACACAAAACAACAGAAGTAATTTAAAGTCACGTCACATTTTTTCATATTTATGTAAAGACATACACTACACTGATTTCAAGTCGATTTTGACATTTCCGTTCGTCCAGTTTGGGATCTGCAGTTGGTACACAGTGAACAAGTCTTCACGCTAGATAATCATTATGCAGATGGTCGACCGTGACCACATTATGCAGTGGTCATGCCTTGTTTTCTTCAAATCATAAGATATGCCGTAACAATATCATGAAGATTTTTTTCCTTAATATATTTCACCTATCTACCACAACCTGTTGTTGTCGGTCTTTTAAATCAGGAAACTGTCTATCCTTCTACTAGTCCCAACGGTTACCCTGGATTCCGTAATGATAGATTTTTGCCAAAGTCTTTACATACAATTTCACATTAAGGCATAAATTTGTACAGACGATTAAATCTCTGTCATGATCATGAATTACAGCATAAAACAGTAATTATTTGAGTATTATTGATATTGGTGTCCTATATGGCTGTGTCCGGTGCCTACACATGCCAATTCTAAATTACTTATAATTTGTGTTTTAGAAAAGCGTATCTATATAAAATTTACATTTGTGGCATTTTACATTAAAAACGATCAAATGTGTGATATCAATAGAAAATGAAAGGATATGGAGTAAATGTACATGGGACAAAACCGCACACAATGCATAGAAAACAGAAAATTATCAAGCCTTAAACTGAATTATTATAGTACTATTATTTATAATTTATTATTTTGTCCGTGTGTCCCGGGATACAAAATGTATGCAAACTAATTTTTGCATCGAAATCACTAATGATTTCACATATGGTTGGGTTAGGGTTAAATAGGAGCTTTTTTTCACGAGGGATGGGAGGAAATGATTTAAACCACTAAAGTTGTATGAACTGTATGTAAATATAAACTTGTTTAAAATCTGATTAATTAGATGTCTCCAAAATCCAGAAGATTTGGTTTACAACCGTGTTTTATGAAATTTGATATATGAGTAAGGAAATGAGGTATGATTACCAAAGAGACAACTTACCACCAGAGACCATTGGACGAGTATGTTAAGAGCTATGGAGCAATGCACCACCTTCAACCATGAGCAAAACAAATACCGTACAGAAATGCGTAAAAGGCATCGGTATGTTCTGTTCTGTACATGTACCCTCCGTTATATATCAGAGCACTCCCAATTGTAATAGAGGTTTAACACTTCACAAATATTTACAAGGATATTTACAAAATGTGAAGGGGTGTTAAAATTTATAAGTTTTATATATGTGTGATTCAACAAATGAGAACTGGGAATTTTAAAACAACATCATGTACAGTTGTCAGCATGAACTTTGGACTCACTTGATCATTTCTGTTAATCATATTTCAGGTATACTAAGGATTTCATATATGTAACTAGTTTAATTTAACTTTGTTAATGCTGAAACAATTTGAGAAAGGCAAAGAACATTTTTCATTTTGACAAAATAAGTTCTCAGTACTTTCAATGACAAAAAATATTCAATATTTTTCTCTATCAAAATAACAATCCATGTCAACAAACGCTGTAACGTACAAAGCAGATTTAGGGGTGTCATTGAGACAGCAACTCAGCGATTAACTAAAAGACATCTATGTACACGAGTGTCGGCAATGTAGCAACAGACAAAATTTTAATATAACAAATACATAAAATTGTCTTTTCGTTAAATTGACCTTCGCAAGTATTCAGTTGTCATTTATATATTGAATTAAATTAAAGTTATCCTAAACCCATAAGCTATAATAGGCATGGTGAACACAATGTGATATATTTCAAATTTGAAATCTAACGTCCTGATTAAGTTTATATCCTTAAACAAAAAACAATTTTGACAGACGACATCCACCTGTTTTTGAGCATATTAATCCTTTACACTGGAGAGCTGTGTTACAACAACGATAATCTCTTTATCTGTTTATGGTAAAACCAGGCGAAAAGGGCTTCATTCGTCAGGTCGATATTTATCATTTATAGTTTCTTCTGTTTTAATCATATCTTTACACTTAATATTTTATCTATATAGTTTTCTTTTATGGGACCCAGACTGAACTAACGTAATGTTAATGCATACTCACTGAGGACTTGTACAATAGAAGGAAGATTTAAGCATTACATTAGATGTAAGTCAAATAAGATTCTACATTTATCACAAAAGCTTGAGAATTTAAGGGGGTGGAGAATTGAAGGAATCAAAAACACTATGACGACCGTACGACTTTAAAAAAAGCGTATAATTTGCGGATACAGAGGGAAGGGGGAAGGTGGGGTCCGGGGGTTAGAACACCCTTTTTTCGATTTCTTTTAATTATGTGAACCCTTCAAGGTGTTCCGGGGATTCACGGGACCCCTTTCAAAATTGCTTGATCCGCGCCTGTTTATCTATTAGGATCTGCTGATTCTAATGGTTGTATGCAGCAAACATGTGTCAATGGAATACCTACATTGGAAATGAGTGCGAGTCTACCGACGGTTATCATAAAATGTGGTAATTGAAAAATTAATTGTAATTGACAATAATGAATTAATCACCATTTTTAAGAAATTGGTTGTAATTTGTAATTGACAATATATTTCAGTATTAATAACCATAATTTGATTATACAGACATACACTATCATTAAACGCATTATATATGTATATGTGTATGCATAATTATATACTGTTCACACCTATACAATAATATTATAATCTTAACGAAACATTTCAATTCAGTTATTATATATATAGGAATATCAAACTTAGTTTCATTCCAAGTTCGATTTTTTGTTCATCTTCAAACACTGAATTATGCGTGATATGGTTATCTGAAATTGACAGTTTATGTGAAATGTTCATATCATATTCTTTACAGAAATTATAGTGTGTAAAAATATTTCAAACCAATTTATAAATTAATCAATTTACCAGTAATCATACCTCACTGTGTGATGTGAAAACATTTCTGATAAAGTTTAAGACAAAATAAAGACTTATAAAAACACCGATTTCTGTATAACAGTTAATCAATATGATGACAAATGTTTGAATATCCTGTCAGCCGTGATTGGCAAGTGAAGTATTTTTCTCAGTTTGTTTGTTTTTGCTGTTTTGGTGATTGAAATAATACCCAACAAAATGATATTAACTTGTGTTTCGTTTCGTTTCCCTTTTGTCACGTTGCAAGAAGTATGCTATATTTGATTGAATTTGAATCAAAGACACGGGTGTACAGTTGGTACCCATGATTGTCCGATGATGTGAGATAGAACGTCTCGAATTAACACTTTATACTAAGCTGCTTTGATGTTACCACTGAGTCTGAGGTAAAAGCTAGAGAGATCCTCAAAACGGAAGTCTACGTTGCAAAATGGTACATGTGTTGTCAGCTGTCTGCTTCTCCCTTTTGGTCGGTGTTTTGCAAGTTTCTTTAGCCGATGACGGACAGTGCTACACATTTGGTGGTGACAGACAGTGTTATGCCTCTCCAGGAGGGCATGTCTATCCTCAGGAAACTCGTAGAACGTCAGGACATGCAATTCAGTGGAGCCAAGCTGTCAGTATGTTTTACCTTTAGATTAATTGATTAATAAAACTACACTTAAAGTTGTACAAATTTATCACAAATTGCATTATAAAGCTCTGTATAGCTTTTAACCGACACCCACAATGATGTTATCTCCAATCTTCAGATTTGTCTTGCTGTTGTTGATGACAAGGTAGCCTCTATTGAATTTTTTTTTAATGTGTACTTTACATCCCTTTTGGCATTTGTGTCAGGAGTGATTTTTTTATTTGGCAGCCATCAGAATCCCTTATCAAGCCTTCCGTTAAAGGTAAGATATCTTAAATGATAAGGATTTCTAAGGTTGGCCAAATCAAAAAATCGCTCTCAACTCAGAATCCCAAAAGGGATTATGGTACAAGGTGAGGTATGTTGTTTATCAAAATTTTCCTAAATATAGTTAAGGTTCATCATTACCTTTTGACTCATATGGCCGTATTTACACCACAAAATTTACTCTGATTACAGACAAACCTGTGCGCCTGGAAAAAATTACAGCATGGCAGGAACTGGATTGATTGATTGATTGTTGGTTGCTTAACGTCCAGTGGCAAATATTTCATGCATATTCAGGACGAGGCAGGAACTGGATAATTGAATTTTAAATGCATTTTATGTTTCAGAAAATTATAATTTTTCTGGATTTTGAGAATGCTTTTTTTTTGTTCCCACAGAAGATGCCAAAATAACTAAGGTTGGAAAAACGTTTGAGATGTTCCCCTATGATAATAATTGTAGTGAATTGCATTGCTTAAATGGACAATAGATATCTGCACAAAAATAGGTGATTTTAACTGTACATGTGTAAATGAGTGGACTATTTCAAATGAAACTCAGGTGTTTGTTTATTTTATCGCCTTCTACAGACTTATAAAAAAGGAATCTCAAATTCAATTTAAGGATTTATCTGAAACATAAAATGCATTCAAATTTTATTTACCTAGTTCCTGCCATACTTTAAAACTTTTCTAGGTGCACATGTTTGTCTGTATTCAGAGTATATTTTGTGGTGTAAACACAGCCATATTTTTTAATTCCTTCTGATGAACCTTAATAAAGATTGATAACAGATTCTGAGGGCAGAAAAATCTCTCCAGACACTGACACAGATTCCCAAAAGAGATTAACAATTATAATATGAAACAATATAAATTACCCACAAGTTTAAATCCCTTTTGCATGTTTTGGGATTCCAAGTTCAGAGTGATTTTATGTCCATAACATGCAGTCTTTTTCAGCAATGCCATATTTTATTAAAATATTAAAATCAATTTTTCTTCCACATTTTCATATGTTCAGTTCTTATGATGAAAGATGTAAAACATGAAAAATGGTCCATTAAATGGTTACCAATGGGAAATGAAGTGACAACTCCAAAAATAGACAGGTTTAATTGTCAAAATAAACCAAACTGCACTGAAGTGAAGACACATATATATATACAACAAGAGTATTTACTAGTATATGTAACACTGGTATGTGTTATTTTTTTTCAGTCTCTAAGCCAGCTCCTGATTGGAATGGTACTGCTGTGATAGATGGAGCATTTAAGGATATCAGACTAGTAGATTTTAAAGGGAAATGGCTTGTTTTCTTCTTTTATCCTCTTGATTTGTAAGTAGCACCTTGTCATCCTCTGGTGATAAAAGGTATTAAACAATGTTGCCAGACCACACTAGTTATCTTTGAAAAAAATTACCTATTTACCTGTTAATTAAAAGAAAAATATGTGATAATAATATAAATGTTTTATTATGTTTCATGTTGTTAGGACTTTTAATTAGTATTTGAGATACCATAATATAATCAAATATGATAAAAAAGCAGAATTATTATTTTTCATCATCTTTTACATGTTGACCAACGTCAGTTCCAGAAGCATTGCACTTGATCACTGATCCATAAATACTATTACATATTTATACATCCAAAGTATTGCAGTAAGATGTATTTTTTTAAAGAACATTTAATCATTACATTTTTGATTGAATAATACAAAATTGTTATGCATTTAAAAACATAAATTTTCTATTGTTACAGCACATTTGTTTGTCCAACAGAAATTATTGCCTTCAGTGATAGGGTTAAAGAATTTGAGAAGATCAACACTCAGGTCATTGCATGTTCTGTGGATTCACAATTTACACATCTGGCTTGGTAAGTTACAACATAATTGTTAGTGAATGAAGTTAATCTTTCATACCTCCCTTTGATGTAAGTCTTTTTTCTATCCTCTTTCAAGAAAACTGATAAAAGAAAGTAGTATATATCTATGCATCTGTTATTATATCTTAACTGTTCACTCCTCACAAACTGCTGGTACCATAGATGCAGTCTTGCATTCAATCTTTGTTTAAAAATGTTAATAGCATGGCTATACCTAGGGAGTGTATCAATCCATTTGTAGGTAAAAGGTCACAGGTCAAGGTTACAAAGTGAATTAGGATGTAAAAGTTTAACTGACTCTGTGGCTTGCATCTAATATTCATCAGTCATCCCTGAATTCTACATGTAAAGCATAGGGAGAGCTTGATTCATAAGAATTTCAATTCCTAAACATGACTTACGAGATGAAAAACTGCAGGTTTTTCTGTACATACTTGTAGCTGTATACACAATATATGATACCATTAAATTGCCCATTTACTAGAGGTGTAACCAATAACCAAAGCTTTAGGAAGTTTCAGGCCATGCAGTTTGAATAAGAACACTGCATAGCTAGCGAATAATATGTGTCCTTGTCATCCGCAGGCTACTTGTATACAATACATTGCTGTTATATATGAATAAATCCTTTAAAAACTAAAATGACAAAGCAGGATCATGTAGCAACTTTTAAAAATACACCTCAGCAATACGGGATAGGAACTGGATCCTTGTCATATGCAATCCCTTGGATGTAACAACTGGTGTATGGGATAAAAAGTTACCCTCTGTATAATTTATGTAATTTCAGGATAAGCAAGGCTAGAAATGAGGGAGGACTTGGACCAATCAAAATTCCTCTTTTGTCTGACATCACACATGAAATCTCCAAAGCATATGGTGTATTCTTACAAGATTTAGGACATAGTTTGAGGTAAGCCCTTTTATCCAAATTTCATTTAGATTTATTAGGTTAATTAGCTTTCACTACTTCAATACAAGTATAGAATATCTTATCTGAGAATTGAAATATAAAACAATATTAAACAAGTGACCAAAACAACGCCATATATAATTCTTAAATCAACAAAACCTATGAATAAGGAGATGTGGTATGATTGCCAATGAGACAACTGCTCATTGGAGACCAGAGGAAGTGTATGTAATTAATTATGGTCACCATAGGCTTTTAACATTGAGAAAAATCCATACTTAATAGAAAGCTATGAAAGGCCCTGACATGATGAAATATAAAACAATTGAAAAGAGAAAACCTACTGCCTGATTTAAACATATACACTAAATGAATACGCAAAGTTGAGAAGACAGCAACAAACGACAACAATTGGATTACAGTTTTTTGACTTGTGAAATGCAGGTAAAGAATATGTCAGGATTAAACATCCTTTGTGTACATTATAGTTACATTTCAAATGCCACATGGCAAATATTTGAAATGCATTCACATATAATTCATGTTTTGTTAGAGATAAACTTGTTTTTGTGTACATTATAGTTGTATTTCAAATGCCACATGGCAAATATTTGAAATGCATTCACATATATATTATTTACGTTTTGTTAGAGATAAACTTGTTTTGTGTACATTTATAGTTACATTTCAAATGCCACATGGCAAATATTTGAAATGCATTCACATATATATTATTTACGTTTTGTTAGAGATAAACTTGTTTTGTGTACATTATGGTTACATTTCAAATGCCACATGACAAATATTAGATATGCATTTACATGTATTAATTACGTTTTACCCCATATTTGGCTTGATCATTTCAGAGGTTTATTTATCATTGATCCTAAGGGGATATTACGACAGATTACAATGAACGATCTTCCTGTCGGTAGATCTGTTGACGAGACATTGAGATTAGTACAGGCATTCCAGTATACAGACAAGCATGGAGAAGTATGCCCAGCTGGGTGGAAACCGGGCAGTGATACAGTATGTATATTGTCAATTCTGTTAAGTTTGAAAGAGGATGAAAAAGTTATTTTTCTTGTCAGTAGAAATGTCGTATTTGTTGTCTTTCAAACAAGATTTTTATGTCCCCGCCGTAACGGAGGGGGCATTAAGTTTTACCCTTGTCCGTCTGTACGTACGTCCGTACATCCCAAAGTTGATTTCCGTTCTCTAACTTTAGTTTGCCTCAACCAAATGTTATGAAACTTATACACAATGCTTATTACCACATAACACAGATCACGTTTGAATTTTGGTGCCGTCACTTTAACCATTCTAGAGTTATGCCCCTTTACAAATGGAAAAATTGCTGAATTTTTCGTTCCCGTTTTCTAACTTAAGTTAGCCTCAACCAAATGTTATGAAACTTATACATAATGCTTATAACCACAAAATTCAGATCAAGGATTAATTTTGGAGGTGTCACTTTAACCGTTCTAGAGTTATGCCCCTTTACAAATGGAAAAATTGCTGAAATTTTTCGTTTCGGTTCTCTAACTTAAGTTAGCCTCAACCAAATGTTATGAAACTTATACACAATGCTTATTACCACAAAACTCAGATCAAGTACACATTTGGGTAGTGTCACTTTTACTGTTCTTGAGTTATGTCCCTTTATAAGGTTATATGCAAGCGGGGGCATCATCTGTGTCCCGTGGACACATTCCCCATTTATTTTATTATAGATTTTTACAATTAAAAAAATTAGGATATTTGCACTAAACTGATTTCATTGGGATTTATTTTGGTGGTTTCCAATTTGAGAAAGTCACACTCTTTAGATGTTAATTTTTTGTTTGGGTTTTTCATTTTATTGATAATATATATCCTTAAAATAAACGAAATTAAATTCATCACAATAATTTCTGCATTTATAGTATATAAGAAAAGGCTGACTTAAATGATTTTTTTCTTTTTTCAGATCATTCCAGATCCTAAGGAAGCTCAGAAATATTTCAGTAAACAGAAGAATTCAGACTAAGAATCATCTTCAAAGTACTGCTGCTCTTATTACAAAGATCTTAAGTTAAATTGAAATACTAATGACTTATGAGTAAGACTTTTTGTGAAAAGAGCTGCAAATTACAAAGATGCAAGAAATTCTTCTCTGTTCTCTTGAAATTCCAAATTATGTATTTCTATCCAGTGCAATTGCTAGAGGACCATCTCAAATAATAGTTTTTATAAATGACTGTTTATAAGGGCTGTACCATTAAATGGATGTGGGAGTGTAGGAAAGGACTTTCATGTCACCACAATCAACATATTCTCAGTTATTTTACATACTTGTATCTCCTAATTTTATTTTCCACAGTTAATCTTTATACTTTAACACCCCATTTTTCTCGATCTGATTAAAATACAAATTCAATGTCCAAGCTTTGCTTACAAGGATTTTAAAACTCTGTTCTAATTTCTGTTAAAAGACCTTTTGGGATCCTCTGGTTCTGTGGGATTAATACATACCTTCAAAAATTTGAAGGCTGAAATTTCATTGGCTGATGTGATAATTACCAGAACAAATTAAAAACGAGTGTTGTCAAAAAATTTTCATATCCTTGTAAGCAAAGTTAAGATACAGAATCCGTATTTAAATCAGATTGCATTTTGCTGTATTCATTAATTGGTTTTCGGCCATTATTCTCTAATCTGCCAACCCCATCCAGACCCTCATGCATCAAATGGACATGCAACCATAACTTACCCATGTCCAGAAATAAATCTTCCCTTCCTACCCTCCCACATTAATCTAATTTGAGAAGCCCTATATTTGATGGGTTAAAGGTTTTGAGTAACCACGTATGAAGTAAAACTGAATTCTCATAATTATTTTGAGCATAATGAATCATTAGGGGGGAAGGGTATGCCTGTTCTTTCTGTTCAGAACTTACAGGTACCAGTTAGTCACTCATTTGCTCTGTTAAATGATAAGTCAAAGAAATATGTTCAGCCACCATGGAAAACATGGCCTATATCTTGGGAAATTGTGAATTGATCATGTTTTGTTGTCATAGCTTTAAATGAAATGACAGCTATTTTAAATGGAATTTCTGGGAATCCTTGTTCTGAATATATGCACAAATTTCAGAATCCAACACAAAAATGGCTACTGAAAACTGAACAGTGCCAATGGTTGTAGCAAAGTTTCTTAAGCTACAAGGGAGATAACCAGGTGTATACTTCTTAATTTTTTCAGTTTCGGAGTTCCTATTTGTGAAATAACTTCCAATCTTGGTAATGAATATTTGTGTTAATGGGTTGCTGTCTCTTTGATGTCTGGCATAATCTCCTTTTATAAACACATGTTGTGTTTTCAGTTGGAAAAATTGTCAAAAATTCAAATGAAACTTTATTGGGAAAAAATCTGACTGATTTTGAGTGTAGAAATGATCCCTAAATCATAATAATTTATTGTCCTTGAATAAGAAATTTATCATGAGAAAGAAACTTGTAAAATACATTAGAAATATATTTATGCAAGATGTAGAAATTTACATTACATATCTGCTGAAAAATTAACCACATGCACGAGGTCAAATTCATTTGTTAGTTTTCGTGGATATATTGAAACACTTTTTGTATGTTTACAATGTGTAACTGTGTTAAAGACAATAAATCATCTGTTTTTGTCAATTTTATGAGTTCTTTAATAGTTTATTTGGATCGGATGCATGGTCCTGAGTAGTTTAAATCCTCTATAATCAATTGAATTAAAGTATTATTGTGTAGTGTATATGTCTATTGCTTACTGTATAGCAAATATTTATTGAGAAGGGTATTATAGCTAGTATAACAAGTCAGCAATCACCACATTGTATATTTCCATCTTTAATATAAGAAAAGCAGCTGTAATTTAATTTAAAAATAGATTTTAATTTGATGTAGAAAACTGAACTTTTCTTCAGTTATGATGAGTTGTTTTTAGACTTTTAAGTTTGATATTTTTCTGTTATACATTTGACAAGTAACTAGTCTTGATATTCTGAAAAAAAAATTGCAACAGTGTATTCCTCAGCATTCATGATTTTATGTATTCGTGTATATTAAATTGACCTGCATTGTATCCTTTCTGTCAGAGCATTTTATTTATAATGGTTATAAGGTATTATATGTATGTTTGTTGAATCATAGCAAAATTATCTCCCTTTGACCACTGACCCTTTCCTCATGCATTTGAACTATTATTCTATGTTTCTCTAACACTCTGTAATGTTTATGTCATGTTGTTAGTAATGTTATGCTCTTAATGGGCCCTTTAATTTGGAAAAATAAAATATTGTATTGTATTGTATTGTATTGTATTGCTGTTTTTAGACTTTAAATATCAGAATCACAAATGATTATTTTTAATGTATGGAGTATATTGTGTATGAAGCAAGGTTTAAAAAGAGGGTACAAAGATTTTGTAGTATAAACTCATTAGTCTATTGTTCTAAAATTAGTTAATTTACCACAGGGGACTTAAAATGAGAATTGTGTCCTTACATGTACATGAGTTACCTGATTTTAGTGCTGAGGGAACAAAGATAGTCAAAAAAAATTCCAAATGCCTGATTTGTTTTTTTCTATCATATTTTTTTTTCTCAACAGCTTTAGCAAATAATTAAAAGGGCTAGAAAATGTGAACTTATTAGTAGATTATGTTCTTAAGGACTTAAATAAGGCCATCTTTTTTTCTCTCAACAGCACTAGCAAATGCTTAAAAACTTAAAAGGCTACAAAATGTGAACTTATTAGTAGACATGAACTTTAATGATGCAACATTAAAAGTGCAATCTAATTGAAATATAGATCCTGTGCCCTTGCTTTGCTAACAAGGCTCAGACAACACTCCCTTCTACTTCCTGTTCTAATCATTGCCAACCAATGAAATGTCTTCCTCCAATTTTTTTTAAGATGTGTTTCATTATGGCAAAACCCTAGTATTCTGAAATGTTGATCAAGAACAAATTAGAAAGGAGCCTTGCAAGCTTAGTCATAGGATCTTTATTTTGTTGAGATAATTCTAAAATTGAGGATATGTTAAAGACTTCTGCTTTAATTTAGTATCAACAATTGTTCCTTGTTGAAATTTCTTTTCATTTGTCTGAGGGTTTGGAATGGATTGTTTTGTGTAAGAACAAGTTGATGTATAAGTGAAAATTTCAAATGTTGAAAGGGGTTAACATTTTACTCTTTTAAATAAATGTCATTAAATGACAAAACAATTATGCATATGAATGTAGTGTCTTGTTTAACCTTTGAACTTGGCATATGATATCTTTTGATATCAGGATAGAATGTGGTGGAAATGTTGTAAAAAATGCATTTTATGTTTATTCAATGTTCTATGGTAAAAAGTTGAGCTGCTATACCAAATCACCATGCAAAATGATTTATTAGTTACTTTATCGTCCAAAAATTGTTACATTTCATCTTTATTCTATAGAAAATAAATTAGACTGTTGTGTTATTTAAGACTCTCAGTATATATTGATGATGTAAGAAAAATCCATTGCATTGTGAAATCCTGTTGTATGAATGATATTTTATGTTGAGCTATATTTGTATGTTGAAGGGTTTATTTACTTGTTCGTTAATGGAAGCTATTTTCAGTAATAAAAAATGTTCTTAAATATTGTTTTTACAATTATTACTTCCCCAGTCTGAAAGGTTTGGTGGCTGGATGTTTAACATTACATCTATATTCAGAAAAAGATCATTTCAAAGTTGTATGAATATATACCCTGCTTTACACTAGACTGATAACTAAGATGGATATTACATGCATGGCACATATAATTGGATACTATATTCTGATTGAAAAAATAAATGTATAATTGAAATGTTGTATCAATTTATGACATTAAATGACAACAAGCACCATGGAAAAGCCTAATTTAAAGAAAAATATACTTACTAATTGATTTTTTTTATACAAACTTAGTCCTGACTTGGCACAAATGAAATAGGTTGAACAACATTATTCAGCCTGGTATACCTCCCACTTGTTCAGTTCCATTTGACCAAAGAAGTAGCATTCCCCATCTGACAGACACAGAGGCAGATTTAGAGGGGGGCAGGGGGCCCAGCCCCCCCCCCCCCCCCTTTTGTGGGAAAAAATTGGTTGATTATATAGGGAATCACTGAAGCGTGACTGAAGTGGTCCCCTCTTGGGCAGTCAGTGGGCCCCCACTTATGAAAATTTCTGGATCCGCCACTGAGACATGCTCACTTAGCCTGTTATATAAAAATCAGGACAAGTGGTAAAATTGCCAATGAGATAAAATCCACAAGACATCAAAGGTTAAAAATTTAAACAAGTATAGGGCACTGTACAGTCTTTATAGAGCAAACCTATACCTTTTACCCTATAGTAAGATATAACACTAAAGGAAAAACAAATATAACAGACAGCAACCAATCACAACCATTGAATTACAGGCACATAAAGAATGGGGTGCTGGTAAAAATGACTTTTAGTGCTCAACCCTTCATTATCAAAGCTTCTTTTTATATATAAGTGTATGATACAAATATCAGTGTACACAGCATGTCTCTGGAACCTTTGAAAGATAAAACAAAGACTTGCTGGGTACTTCTTAAGGTTTGTTACATTTTCGTTCAGTATCCAAACATACCCATGATTGGGGGTGGGGGGGGGGGGTACTTTTAAACGGAGACCTATGTGAAATAAAACAGAATTTTAATACTTATAATACTAGATTCCACAAGACACGACTGTCAAATGGTCTATAAATGCAAGCTTAAAATTGAGAATGGAAACGGGGAATGTGTCAAAGAGACAACCCGACTAAAGAGCAGAAAACGGCCCAAGGCCACCAATGCATACCCAAGAATGAAGGACACTAATGGCCGATTACCCTTATCAGCGACACCCGGGGTGCAATGTTTTTAATGATGTTCGATTAACATAGAAAGTAATGGGAAAATAAATGGTTACCCTTCATCAATTCTTCATATTATTTTTATTAATCATCTGAATTCTTATTAACACATACGACCGAATTCTACATAGATTTACCTTTCTGGTGGTATAAAAAAAATCAGTTTATCTTATCTCATTGTTAGGTCTCCGATTTTTTTAAATTTCATTATCTAAATTCCCTTACTCACATCAGTAAATAACGATGAATTACCTCAAAAGAAACGAGACAGCAGTAACTAAAAAAATTGAAGCACACTTAATATGCAAAGGAAATACTATTAACACATACTGTCGAATACTCCTGTCAAAAAGCTATATTTTGATGTCAGAAAAGTCAGTTTAAATTAGGAAATTCTTAGGTCTCCGGCGTTTTGAAAAGTTGTCTTTGAAAAAAAATAACCAACACAAATGTAATATACAAAAACAACGAACATTAGCGAGATCATACTGTTATACATGTAAAATAAATTCCAGTTGTTCTTAAATAAATGAAATAATACATAATAAGTTCAAATTCAAAGTATTCACTGCGGCTATTTTTTATTGTTCAAATAGAAACGATAAATATTGAATACAAAATATTTGGCGAAACATATTTAATGATAAATGATAAAGTATACATTTACATTTAAATAATAATAAACGATTCGCTGTTCAATTTTTTTTCACCCGTACAACATTTTTCCATCATTTGTATTTCGATAATATTTAAAGAAAATGAAAAGGTGGTATATTAAAAAAGCTCGAAATTGATATATTGTCAAATGAATTTTATTATCAGCAGGCACCCTATCGCTTGATTGTCTTTCCTATCTCCAATTACGATGTCTTATATATGCTCAACAGGATGTCACTGTTTGTTTTATTAAATTGAATCTGAAACAATACAACTTGTGTTAATTGGTGACATATGTACATGTAATAAATATATGCACGGTTTGTTATGTGAGTATCATCCTGTAATGACATTACATCAATGTGGTGGAACTATTAAAACAAATTTGAGAACTCGAAATCTAATGCAAAAAATCTTTCAAATCACTCTTTTTTAGGGAATCGTGTTCCTCGCTCTTTAGTTTGACCAAGGAATTGTATATTTAAATATACAATTCCTTGGTTTGACCATGGAGGTAAATTGATTAGTGTTATCTATGTATAGATAGTTTAATTTGCTGCTTTTATTTTTTTATTTCTTCTTTTAATTTGTCATTTTCTATATATTGTTATTTTTACTTAATGGTGCAATACAAAACACATTTAAGTTGACTCTCGGTCATTTTAGAAATACACTGTTTGAAATGTTCTTGTGTGAAAAAATGTAACGCTTACAACACATTGAATGTTGGTTTCTGTTATAATGATGAATGTGTTGTCATTGTAAATGAATATTAAAAAGCCGATTGCTGAAGACCTGGTGACAAATTTTAATCTTATGCACAACAAAAAAGGCCCTTCTTCGTTGATATGTTGGGTTTTCCTTGTATTTCAAAACACCTTTTGTCTGGTGCATATGCCACGACTCATAAAATTTAACTTATATTTATAAATTTATTTTGTCTGACGAATTTGTGTCCCTGACTTTTTTTTTAAATTTAAACTGATTAGTCGTTTTTTTTATCGTCTAAAAGAAAGTGTACATTTTATTGTCATGCACCAAAAATTACCGTTAACATCGTTTGACATGAATTTTTACTTTTATTTGTCATGAATGTACCATCCATCATGACCCTCATACAGTGTGTTGAAGTCGAGCACATTTGAAACGTTAATTAAATCTATAAAAAAAATTACAGAATCATGTTAACTATTCAACTTAAGTTCTTTATTTTGATTAATTTTTAAATTCATGACTAAATTAATGATGCTTGATTTAAAAAAAAATACAGATATATAACAAATGAATTAGTATTTTATCATTTTATATACGTTGTAGCAGGGGTGGATCCAGCCATTTTAAAAGGGGGTTCCAACCCAGGATAAAAGGGGGTGACCCAACCATATGTCCCCATTCCAAAGCATTGATTGTTAAAAAAAAAGGGAGGGTCCACCCCCTGGATCCCCCCTCTGGATCCGCAACTGTGTACACAAAGGTCTAATAAATAAATACAAGCAAACAGGTTATTCATGGAACCCTTTTCATGGAAGAAAATACTGTTTTTAATTTGGGTGATTATTCTTTTAAAAGAATTTAGTATTGCTGGACAAAAGACTGGCATCTCATGCGAAATTGGCAAGAGTTCGCAGTATTGATAATGGACAATTAACATGGTAAAATGAAGACCGTACTTTGACCTATAATGGTTGACTTTTACAAATTGTGACTTGGATGGAGAGTTGTATCATTGCCATTGGCACTCATACCACATCTCCATATATCTATTAAATATATATATAATTGCAAAGATATAGATTTTTAATAAAGATTTTTTTTTTATATTTACCTATATAATATGTTAAGTAAAATTTTAAATAGGTGAAAAGTCTGCAGAAAAAAATAAAGATGATGAAGAAAATGATGAAGAAGATCATCATCATGATGATGATGATGATGATGATGAAGAAGAGAATGGATTATCTCCTCCTGATCAAAAGAGACAAAAAACTTGACATGGCATAAATGAATTTTAAATGTACCATGACTGAAGAAGAAACTTAAGACTGTACTGTACTACAATTGAATGTGATGGACAAATTATATAATTTTTTCATTGTTGTATCTTTCATTTTAGCTAGTAAAATTTACTTTCATATTCTGTTTTAGAATTTTCATTTTTGACATATATTGCCTCAAACACAGACTGTATCTTATTTTCGTTACATTGACAACAGTCAGTTTTTACTAATCCATTTTGTCATAACCGCTATAGGGTATAAGATGAATATACTTAAGACAAAAATTTCATGAAATATTTAGAATTACATATAATACAATGAATAAAAAACACATAGGCACAAGTGATGCTGAGGTGAAAGTGTAAAGAAAATAATAATATTGAAAGTAGATCTGTCTGTGACGTGTCAGTCTGTCTGTCTATTCATCAGTCCTGTTCTTGCATCCCACCCCTCTGAGACCATATCAAAATCAAACTGTGTAGGTTACTGTTAAGGACATACCGTAGTAAATAGATGTGCAAAATGACAGAAAATTATGATTCAATTTTTATTCTTCTTAGAGTTATGCCCCTTTGAACTTAGAATTTTGGTCTAAATATACTACTGCAACAGTTAGTTGTAGCAACTCATCTGAATCCACATAACAGAATTTCATGAAACTTTGTAGTTAAATAGGACATAATATGTAGATGTGTATATCTACAAGAACTTATCTTTTGTAGGAGTGACGAGTCTTTGAACTTAGGATTCTGGTGAGATTTTGTTTGTTCAGTGACAATGTGGGGGCATGGGGTACATGAGCATGCTTGCTACGATTCTTTAAGTTTCAAAATTGAAATAACAACTTGTCAATGAATGAATAAGTTTAAAAAGAGATGTGGAGTATATGCCAATGAGACACATCATAACAAAACAAAAACAATAGGAAGAGATCTTGATATGATCTTCAACAGATGCCTATATAATGTCAAAATCATTAATGTGACTATAAGAGCAAAAAAAATCTTCAAATTGATTTCAACTGTGTCTGTTACTCAAATATTAGAAATAAAATCGGTGACATTCCAAGATTAT